GTGCAGGGGCAGGGGTCCTGCAGCCTTGCAGCCCCTGACCCTGCGCCCTGCTCTGCAGCCACTTGCAGTCCAGCTGCAGCAAGACGTTCCAGCGCTCCATCAGCAGCTTGCTTGAGGCCCCGGAGCTGCTGACCACCATGCTCTTCCCAGGTGAGGGCTGGGGGGTGCTGGGAGGGGTGTGGGGTCCAGGCACCGTGGATCCCTCTGGAGCAGCAGCTTGGCTCGGGGATGATGTACATTGATTCTCAAACCCGAGTGAGCCCCGTGTGCCCCGGTGGGCTGGGCTCTGTGTGCTGACAGCGCTGCGGGGCCTCTGCTCACCTGAGCTGAAGACATCTGGGGGCTCACTTTATTTCCCCTGCGCTCTGAACCTGCCCTGCAGAGCACTGGCCCTCCTGGGTCAGTCCCAGCGGCTGTGCCCAGGGTTACAGCTCAGTATTGATTCTCAAACCCGAGTGAGCCCCGTGTGCCCCGGTGGGCTGGGCTCTGTGTGCTGACAGCGCTGCGGGGCCTCTGCTCACCTGAGCTGAAGACATCTGGGGGCTCACTTTATTTCCCCTGCGCTCTGAACCTGCCCTGCAGAGCACTGGCCCTCCTGGGTCAGTCCCAGCGGCTGTGCCCAGGGTTACAGCTCAGTGGTGCTGAGGTTGGGGAGAGACCAGGGAAAATGCACATTCCCCATGGTACTAAGGGAAATCTGGCTGAGATGTGCACCAGGAGAGCTTGGTGGCAGGTAAGTCCCAGTTTGCTGGTACTTGTGTAAAATGACATGAAACACAGATAAATTTGGACTAAATCCCAGGCTAGTCTCACTGACCACATTCCCAGCGCTCCCCAGCTCGAGTGGGTGACCCAGCTCCAGGCCATGCCCTGGCCATCCTCCTCACCCCGGGGTGGGTGCTATAGAGCTGGGTACCAGGGACTTGCCAAAGAGCCTCAGCTGCAGGGCTGGATCCCCCCTCTCGGCCACTCCATATCCCCGCCGGTGGCGCTGACTGCCCCTCCCTGCCTCTCTCCCCAGCATCCTGGTGGATCATGAACAACAACTGACCCTGGGCAGCCCACTCCAGGACGCCGCTGGCACGTGGAAGACATGGAGCCCTCAGCACCGCTGTCACGTTCGTCACCTCCGTGTCCCTCATCCCCTCCTGCAGCGCGCAGGGGCTGCCTGCCCGTCCCCCAGCACTGCCCGACCCTGTTCCTCTTTCCATCTTATTTATTCCCTTTCCAAGCCATTCCCACCGGCACCGGTGGGAGCTGTGGTCGGGGTGGCCACCGGGTCCTGGGGGAGCACTGGGCTGGCTGCTGTGTCCCTCCTCTTTCTCCCCATGCTCCTCTTCCTCCTGGCTCCACAGGGTGCTGGGCTGTGCGCGGGGCCACGGCTCTGACCGGCTGTGTCCTGCCCAGCGCTGGCAGAGGCTCTGCCCATGGGGCCGGTGCCTTCTGCACGTTGTGAATAGTGTTTTATAGGAACATTAATGGAGTATTCCCAGCG